GATGTGAGGTAGGGATCACCCTTCCCCCGTATTGTAAAACTACCTGTCCTATGCTTTTACATTTGTAACTGTTTCATCTAGTACAACTTCAGTGGTGATGGGAGTCTGCTTTTGAGTTCCATCTATGTATTGGCAAATACGGTTAATTAACTGGTCTAGTTCTTTATCTCTATTTTCCTGCTTGCAGATAAGTGTTCAGAGTCTTAAGTACTGCCTTTCAGGCCCCATAATGTGCCCTTGTATCCTCTAACATGTCTGGAATTTGCGTAGGCTGTGCTGGGGTAGGGAAAGGAGAGGTTCTTTGTCACAACAAACAAGGGGAAAGCTTTTTTCCTGTCTCTTCCATTTACCAATGCCTCATCAGAAGCTTTCAGCACTTATGTAAGAAGTGTATTTATTTTCTTGAACTTTAGTACATTTGGTTCGTTTTAAAATATTGTAGGGTAGAAAGTCGTTTTTGCTTATAGTGTTTTTTTCTTTAGTCCGAGAAATTTCTTAAGTTCTTAAACATGTTTCTTGATATTCTTAGCTTTTTATTGTGGTATTGTGTATTATTTGGAAAGGCGTTAGTGGGTTTTGTGATATGGGGATAACTTTAAGAAAAATAATCCGCTGTAACTCTTTTCCATATTTCTTTCACCTTCTATTTAATTTCTCTTTTAACTATTTCCATCTCTTAGATATTGTTTTATCAGATGGTTCACACAGAAAATGTGAGGAAGTGGGAGAAAAGAAAATAACTAGCTTAAAGAAATTAAAATGTGACATAACAAGAGAGAATGACCATAGGAAGAACGGGGAGAAAAAACCGGGGAAAAGAAACTGAGATTGTTTAAATGTTACTTAGGTGTTAGGACTTCCACTGTATCTTTTTCTTCTTGTATTCTTTATTAAGAGCTAGGAGCAACCTTCAACCTGTTTATTCTTCTACTTGTTCATGCTGTTTTGGAGGGAGTAGTTTTGGGGGTGATCAAGAGGTAGGAAGGATTTTGTTGAAAAATGATACATGTTGCTTCTAGTTTCTTTCTCACTTATGTACGAAATTTGATCCAGTTTAGTGCTGGAAGGATCAAGTGTAATGAAAGTGTTAGAATCCTGAGTTTTGCCTGGACATTAATAAAAATTTGTAAGTTTTATATATGTATGTGTTTCTGTTTCAGGAATATAAAGCTTGCTATTAATATACATTTTTATGTTAAAGCTAATCTGATCTGAATCAGTTATTCAGAATTAAAAGGGATGTGAATTCCAGAAAATGATTAGTTTAGACTCAATAAATTATGAGACTCTTTTTGGTGCTACATATTTTATGACTTTCTGGCCCTCCTGGTAGGGTAGTAATTACTCATTGGCAGTGATTATAAACAATAGTCCTATATTGACTCTTGCTTCTTGACTGAAATAAGCTGACATTAAAAAAAGAGGCGCTTTTCAAGATTTAAGATGAAGTTGCTTCTAATTCTAACTGGCTTTTATTTATCATCATTGGCATTTGAACAGGAAAAATAACTTAGTATGTAAAAAGGTTGAGGAGAAAAGCATTTTAAATTCTGTTTTTTTAGTGACTTTTTGGCTTGAGGACACACATTCCTAGATTTTTAACTTTTATGTTATTTCTCTTTATTTTTTATTTTTATTGCAGCAACAATAGCTTCATATAGTATTTCTAATAATACATGATCATTTCAGAGAAAAAAAAAATCTCCTAGCCACCAACTGAAGATGTGGGCTGTTGATCAAATCATGCCATAATTTTTCAAGGAAATAGGGATGAACTTTGAAGTTTACCCATGCCTTGTTTTCACTATACTGTTATGAACAATTATCCATGTAGTATTGACAATGTCCTTTGTAGATTAGTTATGTCTAATATTTAGAAGTGCTGTCATATTTCCTGGAACAGTGCTTTGGTACCTAGGGCATAATGGACCACTTTTAAGTTGTGATTGTTTTTATTGGGTATGTTTGTATGAGTCAGGTGAATTTCCATTCTGCCCAACTGAGATATGATAACTTGTCCTTTCTAGCTTGTGTTATGTCCATTTGTTTGTTATATAATAGATGACTGTTTATATAATAAGGATTAGAACAAGCCATTAGAATTAATTGTTAATAGATACAAACTATATGTCTGCTGTAGTTTCAATTATACAGTTCTTAAACATAACAACATATTAGAAGTAAAAAGGGGTTTAAATGGTTTGGCTGTGTCCCCTCCCAAATTTCATCTTGAATTCTAGCTCCCATAATCCCCATGTGTTGTGGGAGGAACCCAGTGGGAGGTAATCGAATCATGGGGCGGGTTTTTCCTATGCTGTTCTCTTGATAGTGAGTAAGTCTCACAAGATCTGATGGTTTTATAAAGGGAGGTTCCCCTGCACATGGTCTCTTGCCTACTGCCATGTAATGGATGCCTTTGTTCCCCCTTTGCCTTCCACCATGATTGTGAGGCCTCCCCAGCCACATGGAACTGTGAGTTCATTAAACCTCTCTTTCCTGTATAAATTACCAAGTTGTGGGTATGTCATTATCAGCAGCATGAGAACAGACTAATACAGTAAACTGGTACCAGAAGAGTTGGGTATTGCTGTAAGGATACCCGAAAGTGTAGAAGCAACTTTGGAACTGAGTAACAGGCAGAGGTTGGGACAGTTTAGAGGGTTCAGAAAAAGACAGGGAAATGTGGGAAAGTTTGGAACTTCCTCGAGACTTGTTGAATGGATTTGACCAAAATGCTGATAGGGATGTGGACAATGAAATCCAGACTGAGATGGTCTCAGATGGAGATGAGGAACTTGTTGGGAACTGGAATAAAGGCCATCACTCTTGCTATGCAGAGAGACTGGCGGCATTTTGCCCCAGCCCTAGAGATCTGTGGAACTTTGAACTTTAGGAGATGATTTAGGGTATCTGGTGGAAGAAATTTCTTTTTTTTAAAAAAATTTTATTTATTTATTTATTTTAGATATTTTTTTTAAAAGACGGGTTTCACCATGTTGGTCAGGCTGGTCTTGAACTCCTGACCTCAGGTGATCCACCCGCCTTGGCCTCCAAGGTGCTTGGATTACAGGTGTGAGCCACCATGCCTGGCCTGGTGGAAGAAATTTCTTAGCAGCAAAATTTTCAAGAGGAAGCAGAGCACAAAAGTTTGAAAAATTTGCAGCCTGACAATGCAGTAGAAAAGAAAAACCCGCCGGGCGCGGTGGCTCAAGCCTGTAATCCCAGCACTTTGGGAGGCTGAGGCGGGTGGATCACGAGGTCAGGAGATCGAGACCATCCTGGTCAACCGGTGAAACCCCGTCTCTACTAAAAATACAAAAAATTAGCTGGGCATGGTGGCGCGTGCCTGTAATCCCAGCTACTCAGGAGGCTGAGGCAGGAGAATTGCCTGAACCCAGGAGGCGGAGGTTGCGGTGAGCCGAGATCACGCCATTGCACTCCAGCCTGGGTAACAAGAGTGAAACTCTGTCTTAAAAAAAAAAAAAAAAGACTTTGGAGGACTGTTGGGAAGGCATGATTGATTTTGAAATGTGAGGACTGGCTGGGTATGGTGGCTCATGCCTGTAATCCCAGCACTTTGGGAGGCCGAGGCAGGCAGATCACCTGAGGTCAGGAGTTCGAGACCAGCCTGGCCAACATGGAAAAACCCTGTCTCTACTAAAAATACAAAAATTAGCCGGGTGTGGTGATGGGCACCTGCAATCCCAGGTACTCAGGAGGCTGAGGCAGGGAGAATTGCTTGAATCCAGGAGGCAGAGATTGCAGTGAGCCAAGATTGCACCATTGCACTCTAGCCTGGGTGACAGAGTCAGACTCTGTCTCAAAAAAAAAAGAAAAAGAAAAAGAAAAAGAAATGTGAGAACATGAGATTTGGGAGGGGCTGGGGCAGAATGATGTGGTTTGGCTGTGTCCCTACCCAAATCTCACTTTGAACTATAGCTCCCACAATCCCCATGTGTCATTAGAGGAAGCTGGTGGGAGGTAATTGAATCATGGGGTGGGGTTTTCCCCCCATGAATAAGTCTCACGAGATCTGATGGTTTTATAAAGGGCAGTTACCTCACACACACTCTCTTGCCTGCTGCCATGTAAGATGTACCTTTGTTCCTTCTTCACCTTCTGCCAAGATTGTGAGGCCTCCCAGTCATGTGGAACTGTGAGTCCATTAAAGCTCATTTTCTTTATAAATTACCCAGTCTTGGACATTTTTTCCTAGCGGTATGAAAATAGACTAATACAAGGGTATAGTAGGCATTGGGAAACAAAGAACAGGGAAGAAAATATTTCTGAGATCCAAAGGAGCTTTGCCAAGAGTATAGCCCAATGTAATGTAGGAGTGGAGAACCAGCTAGGATCAGGAGCCCTAGAGAGAAGAACTGTCTGAGCAGAGGTTGGACTTAGATAATGATGGATGGGTCAGAGGCATCCAGAATTGGCGTATTTTAAAATAAAATCTATTTGTGGACATGGGAAAAGCTGAATTAATATCTGTTTTATGGGGCCGGGCGCGGTGGCTCACGCCTGTAATGCCAACACTTTGGGAGGCCGAGGTGGGTGGATCATGAGATCAAGACCATCCTGGTCAATAAGGTGAAACCCCGTCTCTACTAAAAATACAAAAATTAGCTGGGCATGGTGGTGCATGCCTGTAGTCCCAGCTACTCAGGAGGCTGAGGCAGGAGAATTGCTTGAACCCAGGAGGTGGAGGTTGTGGTGAGCTGAGATCGCGCCATTGCACTCCAGCCTGGGTAAGAAGAGCGAAACTCTGTCTCAAAAAAAAAAAAAAAAAAAAAAAATCTGTTGTATGTACTTGTGCTTTCCCTTCTGTGAGGCTTTGTGGTTTTAAGGAACAGAGTTCAAGGGCAGCTGGCTCAATTAAAGGAAGCTGACTATAAGGAAACCTCTGCCTTTGTGCGGAGTCAAGACCAAGGAACCCAATGAGTAGTGCATATAAAACGTACAAAAATATGTTCTGAGAGATTTTCTTCTGTTTTTTTCAGTGATGCCATCTGCAGTTTTGTGATCTGCAATGACTCTTCCCTTCGAGGTCAGCCCATTATCTTTAATCCTGACTTTTTTGTGGAGAAACTCCGACATGAGAAACCTGAGGTGTTCACCGAGTTGGTGGTCAGCAATATCACAAGGCTCATTGATTTACCTGGAACGGAGTTGGCTCAGCTGATGGGGGAAGTGGACCTTAAGTTGCCTGGCGGGGCCGGCCCAGCGTCAGGATTCTTCCGGTCTCTCATGTCTCTCAAGCGCAAGGGTAGGAGATGTGTCTGTGAAGGGTGGGTAGGCTTCAGCTGCGCCCTGGGCTTCTCTCTCAGCATCCACACCTTCATTAAAGAGTTGCTATTAAAGCATTTTTGGGCCATTTAAAAAAATTTTTGTAAGTAGTAACACCTTAAGTAATAGTAATACAAATTATAAAAACTGTCTAGATAAATAAATAATTAAACTAAAGCAAATTCATTCAGTCTCTGAGAGATGACATGATTAACTTAGGTAGTTATCAGGGGTGTCTTGATTTTCATGCCCTATTAATATGTGAAAATAATCTTTAAAAAGTCAAAATTAGATAGCTAGAGGCTATAGTAAAGAAAGCTTGAATTTTTTTCCTTTCTTTTTTTCTTTTTTTAGGGGATGGGATCTCACGCTGTTGCCGAGGCTGGAGTACAGTGGTGTCATTACAGCTCACTGTAGCCTCAAATTCCTGGCCTCAAACTATCCTTCTGTCTCAGCTTCCCGGTAGCCGGGACTACAGGTGCATGACACCATGCCTGACTGTTTTCTGTTTTTTGTAGAAACGGGGTCTCACTATATTGCCCAGGCTGGTCTCAAACTCCTGGCCTCAAGCAGTCCCATCTCAGCCTCCCAAAACACTGGGATTACAGGTGTGAGCCACAATGTCTGGCCTTCTGTTTGTTGTTAAATTAAATACTAACATGCTAGATATCTCCTTCTTACTTAAACAAGAAGGTGGTCTTTGCCCTCAAGGAACCTGTAGTCTAATATTGAACTTGAGAGAGCTGATTGAGAGTTGTCTTGATTGTCTTTTCTGGTTTACTTCCACTTCTAAGGTTTTTGTTTACTGACCATGTGAAAACACTTGCTGAATTGTGAAATAATAGGATGCGTGAGTGGTTTTAGGTATGAAGACTTTGTACTATTTGTGTGGAATATAGCCCTGTCATATCATATGGTTTTTCAGAAAAAGGAGTGATATTTGGGTCCCCACTGACGGAGGAAGGCATTGCCCAGATATACCAGTTGATTGAATATCTACACAAAAGTAAGACTACTTGAAATTTTATCATTCTTTGTTTAATGTAGAGTTCTCAGTTTTCTGTTGAGAGCTGCCTGGAGTTAGTAGGCGCTAATTAACCATCAACAAAGGAACTAACCAGTGTTAATTTCAGGTGGCATTTTAAAAATGCATTTCCTTTTAAACTTCATCTCATATATTAATTTGCTTTATACTCTCAAAGTGTATATATATTAGACTGTGATGTCACATTTACCTCTCGACTCAGAGAGACATTTCTTCTGGAAAAATATGTTGTTCCTAAAGAATTGTGGCATTTATTTAAGAGAGCATGATACTTTTTTTTTCCTCCAGAATTAACATGATTAAAACACATTCTTTACTTAAATGTTTCTTTTCTTTTTTTTTTTTTTTTTTGAGACAGTGTCTCAATCTGTTGTCCAGGGATGGGGTGCAGTGGTGCAATCTTGGCTCACTGCAGCCTTGGGCTCCTGGGCTCAGGTCATTCTCCCATCTCGGCCTCCCTTGTAACTGGGACCACAAGCTTGCACAACCACACCTGGATAGTTTTTGTAGTTTTTTGTAGAGATGGGGTTTTGCCATATTGCCTAGGCTTGTCTCGAACTCCTGGGCTCAAGTGATTCACCCGCCTAGGCCTCCCAAAGTGCTGAGATTATAGGCATAAGCCATTTTACCTGGCCTAGGAATGAATAGTTTAGTTGGGATGATCCTAAGCTTCTGGTAATCATTTAGGCTGAAAGGTAATTTGACACGTTAGAGTTCTGATTCCTAGAGCAATGTAGAGACTCTAGATTCATTCTGGGCTGGGAAAACAGTTTACAAGAGCCACAGACATCCACACATGTATGTAGCCCCTCCATACCACGTCTGGGATAAACAAGGAGAAGAGGTCTTCAGGGAGATTTGGCTTTTTTCAGTTTATTTTTCAATCTAATTTTGACTTGATTGGGTTAAATTCAGAGTGTCTATATATACCTCAGGATGTTGAATGACTCCTGGGAGGACTACCTTTTAGTTTGGAAGATCTCCAAATGCTCAGGGACCTTCAGATACGTCTCCTCAGGAGGTCAGTAGGTTCTAAACTACCCTGGTAAAAAAAGGCAAAAACTTACCTGAAAGGCTTTGTAAAGGATCTTTTAAGTGTAAAGTAGTCTTTAGATTATGTAATTTAATCATAATCTTTCTGCTTCCTTTTTGCCTATCCTCTGCTTTCTTTTATACTAAACAGACTTGCGAGTAGAGGGTTTGTTTAGAGTACCAGGTAATAGTGTCCGACAGCAGATTTTAAGGGATGCTCTCAATAATGGAACTGACATTGACTTGGAATCAGGGGAGTTTCATTCAAATGATGTTGCCACTTTGCTGAAGATGTTTCTAGGAGAGTTGCCGGAGCCTCTGCTGACACATAAACATTTCAATGCGCACCTCAAAATTGCTGGTGAGTATAGGAAGTAAGAGGGAGATGTAAATACATTTATTTCAATTTAGTAAAGTTCCTAGGAATTTTCTGTTGCCTGTGACCTGCAGCAATACTTCTGTTAATATTGATTAAGACTTTGTGATGTTGCTGGACTTCTCTGGTACTTATAGGTATTGGCTAGTTAAGTTAATTTAATCGAATGGCTTTCTTGGTGATTAAGCTTTGTATTGAGATAATGAGCTGGTGGTAAGATGTGGTCTGGGTTTTATTTATTTTTGAATCTTTGATAGGTCCTCGAGTAGTATGCTGAACATTTTAGTTGAAGACAGGGTCTTGCTCTGTCACCTAGGCTGGAGTGCAGTGGTGCAACCTTGGCTCACTGCAGCTGTGACCTCCCAGGCTCAGATGAACCTTCCACCTCAGCCTCCCAAGTAGCTGGGACTACAGGCGTGTGCCGCTATGCCTGGCAAAATTTTTTATATTTTTTGTAGACATACGGTTTTGCCATATTGCCCAGGCTTGAACTCTAGGCTCAAGCGATCTGCCCACCTTGGCATCCTGAAGTGTTGGGATTTTAGGCATAAGCCACTGTGCTCAACCCATTTTAGTTGCTTAATAAATGTATGTTTTTCATTGGATTGATTCATATATTTCAGATGGTTACAGGTTCAGTATTTTTGCCTTGGTTTGGGGTTTTTACTCAGTATTTCTATGCCTCAGTTGAGGACATCTCTACTCTTGGAAATTTGTTTTTTAAAAAATAATATTTGTTTTCTAAATAGAAACACATAGGTCAAAATTCAGATGATTCAAAGAATATACAGTAAAAACCTCTCCTACCCCTGTTCCCCAACACCCAGTTCTTCCCAGAAACAACCAGTGTTACTGATTTAATTTTTTTTCTTTTGAAAAAAGCCTGGGCTGGGTGCAGTGGCTCACGCCTGTAATCCCAGCACTTTGGGAGGCCAAGGAGGGCAGATCATGAGCTCAAGAGATCGAGACCATCCTGGCCAACATGGTGAAATCCTGTCTCTACTAAAAATACAAAAAATTAGCCAGGCCCATGCCTGAGTGAGTGCTGTAGTCCCAGCTACTCCGGAGACTGAGGCAGGAGAATTGCTTGAAACTGGAAAACGGAAGTTGCAGTGAACCGGGATTGCGCCACTGCACTCCAGCCTGGCGATAGAGCGAGACTCTGTCTTAAAAAAAAGAGAAAGTCTGTTGCCCAGTTTAGTCTCAAACTCCTGGCTTCAAGTGATCCTCCCTCCGTCTCCCAAAGTGCTAGCTAGGATTGCAGGTGTGAGCCCCAGCCCCCAGCCCAGTGTCACCGATTTCTTTTTTTTTTTTTTTTGAAACGGAGTTTTGCTCTTGTTACCCAGGCTGGAGTGCAATGGCGCGATCCTTACCGCAACCTCCAGCTCCTGAGTTCAAGCAGTTCTCCTGTCTCAGCCTCCCGAGTACCTGGGACTATAGGCATGTGCCACCATGCCCAGCTAATTTTTTGTATTTTTAGTAGAGACGAGGTTTCACCATGTTGACCACAACGGTCTCGATCTCTTGACCTCGTGATCCACCCGCCTCAGCCTCCCAAAGTGCTGATATTACAGGCTTGAGCCACCGCGCCCTGCCTGGGAATTCATTCTTAAATTGCATGTCTGTTATGCCGCTATGGGCTCTAAGTGTGCACAGCATCAGTATCCGTTACTACAGTTGCTTACTTTTCTGCCCCTGAGTATTTTTCCTGTTTCTTCTAATTATATGGAAAAGAAATACAAGGTTTTTCTTTTTTTTTTTCCTTTTGAGTAATTTTAACTACTTAAAGAAATGTTGGCCGGGCGCGGTGGCTCAAGCCTGTAATCCCAGCACTTTGGGAGGCCGAGGCGGGTGGATCACGAGGTCAAGAGATCAAGACCATCCTGGTCAACATGGTGAAACTCCGTCTCTACTAAAAATACAAAAAAAATTAGCTGGGCATGGTGGCACATGCCTGTAATCCCAGCTACTCAGGAGGCTGAGGCAGGAGAATTGCCTGAACCCAGGAGGCGGAGGTTGCGGTGAGCCGAGATCGCGCCATCGCACTCCAGCCTGGGTAACAAGAGCAAAACTCCGTCTCAAAAAAAAAAAAAAAAAAAAAAAAAAAGAAATGTTTTGAATTAAAAAAATTAATCTTAAAGCACTTTTAGGAGCAATCCAAATGATATAATGAGTAAATATTACTACGATATTGTAAAATTTTACAGTTATTTTGGGGAGAAATATGTTAGACCTTTGGAAAAGATTTGGAAAATATTCTTTTTACAAATGTTAACATGAAGGATGCTTGTTTTGTTTGCTTTCCAGTTCAGTTAATTCATTTAGTGCAATATTTGAAATCCTCCCTTTCACCACCCTGTGATTCACTATTCTTTGAGAACATATTGAGGCGTGGCACAGTTGTAGCCTTTCATATGCCTAGCTGATAACTGGAAAGAATTTTTGTTTTCAGTTTATTTTTTTATTTTATTTATTTATTTATTTATTTTTCTTGAGACGGAGTTTCGCTCTTGTTACCCAGGCTGGAGTGCAATGGCGCGATCTCGGCTCACCGCAACCTCTGCCTCCTGGGTTCAGGCAATTCTCCTGCCTCAGCCTCCTGAGTAGCTGGGATTACAGGCATGCGCCACCATGCCCAGCTAATTTTTTGTATTTTTAGTAGAGACGGGGTTTCACCATGTTGACCGGGATGGTCTCGATCTCTCGACCTCGTGATCCACCCGCCTCGGCCTCCCAAAGTGCTGGGATTACAGGCTTGAGCCACCGTGCCCGGCCTTGTTTTCAGTTTAATATTAACAGGGGCCATTTTCTTTCTCTTTCTTTCTTTCTTTCTTTCTTTCTTTCTTTCTTTCTTTCTTTCTTTCTTTCTTTCTTTTTTCTTTTTTTTTTTGTGACAGAGTTTCACTTGTTACCCAGGCTGGAGTGCAATGGCACGATCTTGGCTCACCGCAACCTCCGCCTCCTGAGTTCAGGCAGTTCTCCTGCCTCAGCCTCCTGAGTAGCTGGGACTACAGGCATGCGCCACCATGCCCAGCTAATTTTTTGTATTTTTAGTGGAGACAGGGTTTCACCATGTTGACCAGGATGGTCTCGATCTCTTGACCTCGTCATCCGCCCGCCTTGGCTTCCCAAAGTGCTGGGATTACAGGCTTGAGCCACCGCGCCCGGCCAACAGGGGCCATTTTCTAAAAGTGTTATCTGCCTTTCCTAAACCTGGAATTATAGAGATTAAACAGCTGAAATAACACACTGTAATCATTTTTAGGTCTATATGAATTGTACTCAAATGGTTATTAGTGTCCTTTGAAACTTTCATTATCCAATGGACTGATTTTGTTGATAACCTTTTTAGCCTGTTAGGGGAGAACCAATAATCCTGACTCCATTGGGAGCTGCCTGTTATAAGGAGCAGCCTGTGAACAAGGACATATTCACGCTCATTTTTCACTCTCATTTTTTTTTTAGCTGTAAAATATCTGAGTGGGGAGAAGTGGAGTGAGTGGCATTATCAAAGACATGTGTATATCTTTTTATTTTTTATGGAGATGGGGTTTTGCCCTGTTGCCCAGGCTGGTCTTGAAATCCTGGGCTCAAGTGATCTGTCCACCTTGGCCTCCTAAAGTGTTGGGGTTACTGGCATATGCCAATGTGCCTGACCTGGATATGTTTTTATTTCTCTTGGGTATATACCTAGGAATGGAATTTCTTGGTCAGATGGTAACTCTCACTTTTTAAGGAACTGCCAAAATGTTTTCCAAGTGGTTATACCATTTTATATTCCCATCAGCAATGGAGGAGGGTTTAATTTTCTCTACATCTTTACCAGCATTTTTTATTGTCACTCTGTTTGTAGTTATGGCCATCGTAGTGGGTATGAAGTAGTATGTCATTGTGGTTTTGATTTATAGTTTCTTTTTTTTTTTTAAGATGGGGTTTCACCATATTGGTCAGGCTGGTCTCAAATTCCTAACCTCAGGTGATCCACCCACCTCAGCCTCCCAAAGTGCTGGGATTACAGGCGTGAGTCACCACGCCCAGCTTGATTTATAGTTTCTTGATGGCTAATGATACTGAGCATACAAAGCCTTATTGGCCACTTGTATACCTTCTTTGAAAGAATGTCTATTCAAATCCTGTACGCATTAACAAATTTTTTTGGCCTTTTTATTGTTGAATTGTATTGACATTATTTTGTTATGTTTTACTGTAATCTTTGAATTGTGTTTCTGTCTGAACCTTTTTTCTCCTTTCTTAGGAGAAAGGGGGAGGATAATGATGATAGCACTGATTTTTCTTGCTGATATTTTCTCCCTGCTTTGCAAATTCTCTTTCGTCCTCAAGATTTGATGCAGTTTGATGATAAAGGAAACAAAACCAATATACCAGACAAGGACCGGCAAATTGAGGCTCTCCAGTTACTCTTCCTCATTCTCCCTCCTCCCAATCGGAATTTGCTGAAGTTATTGCTTGATCTCCTATACCAGACAGCAAAGAAACAAGACAAGAATAAGATGTCAGCCTATAACCTTGCCCTTATGTTTGCACCCCATGTCCTGTGGCCAAAAAATGTGAGTGTTGACAGGAAGAGTAAAGATTACTTGATTTTCTTGGGCTGGGCCTTATTCTATGGCTATAACTTGGTGAGATTATCAAGGGGCCAAGGTCTAGCCTTCAGCTTTATGAGGTTGGGAAGTTACTTTATTAGTTCATTAAGAGTCATCAGACCTGAGAGGGCCAATTCCTGTTAACTTCACTTGTAAATCAATCTCTGGTAAACCTACATGGGATGGTATTAGTGGCAACTGTTAGTGAGAAATTATAGCTACTGAATAAACAAGAATACTCATTTTGGCTGGTCAGTATGGTAGTACTTCTTAACGGGAAAGGCTTCTTGGGAAATCAAATTAGTTTCTGAAGATCGAATAGTATAAAATTAGAATGGCCGGGCGCGGTGGCTCAAGCCTGTAATCCCAGCACTTTGGGAGGCCGATGCTGGTGGATCACGAGGTCGAGAGATCGAGACCAACCTGGTCAACATGGTGAAACCCCGTCTCTACTAAAAATACAAAAAATTAGCTGGGCATGGTGGCGTGTGCCTATAATCCCAGCTACTCAGGAGGCTGAGGCAGGAGAATTGCCTGAACCCAGGAGGCGGAGGTTGTGGTGAGCTGAGATCGCGCCATTGCACTCCAGCCTGGGTAACAAGAGCAAAACTCCGTCTCAAAAAAAAAATAAATAAATAAAATAAAATTAGAATGGAGCTGTATGATCTCGTGGGATAATGTCACCAAGCTTATAGATTTATAGATGAGATGGCACTTAGAACAATCCTGTCTTGTCCTAACTTTTCTATTTCCTATAGATACGTAGTCTCTTTGGATAAAGCTGAACTTTATTCTTATTATGGAGACCATGGTCTTCTCAGTGACTTACATGAGAAATAAATTCACTCTCTTTTTTTAATATCTGAGGGATAAAAACACAGAGAAATAAAATTCTTTGAAGTATTTTTTTCTGTTGTTTTTTGAGACAGGGTCTCGTTCTGTTGCCCAGGCTGGAGTACCACAATCACTGCTCACTGCAGCCTCATCTGAAGTCTTTTAAACAAATTGTTGACCTGGGGGTACATAGATCATATTCTTGCCCATTTATAATCTGAGTTGTGAGCGAGGGTAGGTGGATTGGAAGTCACATAACAGCACTGTTACCTATGTCTTTTCTCTTTTTTTTTTGAGACTGAGTCTTACTCTGTTGCCCAGGAGTACACTAGTGCAATCTCGGCTCACTGCATCCTCTGCCTCCCAGGTTCAAACAATTCTCCTGCCTCAGCTTCCTAAGTATCAGGGACTATAGGCTTGTGCCACTACACCTGGCTAATATTTGTATTTTTGTATTTTTAGGTAGAGATGGGGTTTCACTATATTGGCTAGGCTGGTCTCGAACTCTTGATCTCAGGTGATCCACCTGCCTCTGCCTCCCAAATTGCTGGGATTACAGGTGTGAGCCACCACACCTGGCCTTTTACTTTCTTTTTTAAAGCAACTGTCTACAAGCCATTTTTTGTCTGTCTAATCTTTTACCATTTCTGTGTGTAGGCTTCTTGTCTGTAACTGGGCATAATACAGTAAGTCTTTAACCTATTAACATCGTTGATAGGTTCTTGGAAACTGCAACTTTAATCAAAATGACTTATAACAAAGCAAATCATTTTTCTCATCAATGTTATAACGAAAAGATATTGAAGAAAATGATGTTATTTGAGGACCTGCTATATGTTGGTTCATTTAAACTTAGAGTTTCCAAGAACCTATTAATGCCTTAAGTGAGGACTTTCTGTAATAGGTTTACTACTTACCCGACAAGGTTGTTGGGAAGATAACAGAAATAGGTTATAGTAATTCATAAAAAATTTTTGAGATGATAAGAAATGAGAAAAGGAAGGTAAAGGAGAGAGATTGTGTGAAACATTTTACTTAACAAATAACTAGTGAAAAAATAAGAAAGTTCTGGACCAGGAAGAGCCTCTGGGGGTGAGTAGGGGAGCAGAGGACACATCAACATTTGTCCATGTTAAGAAGATCAAGCCTTATAATGAAGGAATTTTAGAACTGAGCTAACCACGACTATAGGAAAGCAAGGAGTGAACTGTGGTGATAAAAAGAAGTGGTGGCTTACCTGTAATCCCAGCACTTTGGGAGGCTGAGGTAGGAGGATTGCTTGAGGTCCAGGATGTTGAGACCAGCCTGGGCAACACAGTGAGACCTTGAGACCTTATCTCTACAAAAGGAAAGGAAAAATAAGCTGGATGTGGTGGCACATGCCTGTAGTGCTAGCTACTTGAGAGTCTGAGGTGGGAGGATCACTTGAGCTAAGGAGTTGGTGGCTACAGTAAGTTAAGATTGCACCACTGTACTCCAACCTGGGTGGCAAAGCAAGACCCTATCTCTAAAAAAAAAGAAAAGAGTATTTAAAAGCAAAGAGATAAAGTAACAAAGATACATGTTAAAAATGAGGGGTTTTGGATAATAGCGATACTGAAGTACTTAAAAAAAGACAGGAGAAACAAAAGAAGGGAATCAATGACAATTTTACTGTGTTTTTAAGAAACAGATGTCAGGCTGGGTGCGGTGGCTCATGCTTGTGATCCCAGCACTTTGGGAGGCTGAGGTGGGTGGATCACGAGGTCGGGAGTTTGAGACAAGCTGACATGGTAAAACCCCATCTCCACTAAAAATACAAAAATTAGCTGGGTGTGGTCATGTGCGCCTGTAATCCCAGCAACTCGGGAGGTTGAGGCAGGAGAATAGCTTGAACCCGGGAGGCAGAGGATGCAGTGGGCCGAGATCATGTCCACTGCATTTCAGCCTGGGACAAAGTGAGACTCCATCTCAGAAAAAAAAAAAAAGAAAAGAAAAACAGATGTCACCTTTGGTATAGGTAGTGACAGTTCCCTTTTGTCTTTGGAGAAACTCTAGTTTTCTAAAGTGGCAGTGCTGTCCTCGATGGTGGAACAGATTCTGTTCTTTCTGCTCATTTTGAATCCGAGACTAGATTTTCTTTGCCAGTTTTGCTTACATGTCTAATTTTTAAGCAGAATTAGGAAATGAAAATTGGTTTTCAAGGATATTCTCATCACTTTAGGGACATATTTGTTGTTCTAGATTATGTTATATCTTGGTGAACCAAAAAGTCTTTCCAGAATTAAGCATGGTATCAGAGGCACCTTTGTTAGGGATAGAAACTTCATACATTTGAAAGTGTAAGCATATTGGTAAATACTACTTTCCAGCTCTTAATGCCCTTTGTTTGGTTTCTTTTCCTCTGAATAGGTCACTGCAAATGACCTTCAGGAGAATATCACAAAGTTAAACAGTGGGATGGCTTTTATGATTAAACACTCCCAGAAACTTTTTAAGGTAGGTAAGGGATGGCATTTGGTTGGTAACAGGACAAAGAAAATGGAGCAAGGTGGGATCCTAAGTGGGGCTATAAAGATGACTAAAGGAGAAAAAGGTCCTGAATGGAATTGCAAACCAGAACGGACAGTAGCAAAACCCCGGGGAACAACTGCTACGGTGGAGAGGAATAGGAATAGGAGGCTGAGTAGGGCTGGGTCCTCTGGGTAACTGGCTTCACTCTCTGAGCCTTTCTTCCTTTTTTTTTTTTTTTTTTTTTTTTTTGAGACGGAGTTTCGCTCTTGTTACCCAGGCTGGAGTGTAATGGCGCGATCTCGGCTCACCGCAACCTCCGCCTCCTGGGCTCAGGCAATTCTCCTGCCTCAGCCTCCTAAGTAGCTGGGATTACAGGCACGCGCCACCACGCCCAGCTAGTTTTTTGTATTTTTAGTAGAGACGGGGTTTCACTATGTTGACCAGGATGGTCTCGATCTCTCGACCTCGTGATCCACCCGCCTCGGCCTCCCAAAGTGCTGGGATTACAGGCTTGAGCCACCGCGCCCGGCCGCCTTTCTTCCTTTTTCACAAAGGCAGCGCATGTGGCAGCTGAGTAATTTTATCCTGCATGCATACTGCCAGTAGAATTTTGGGGATCATTTTGTACTCTTTGGCCCTTTCAATCCAAACAGGCTGTGTTTCTACTAACATAATTTTCTTAAGAACTTTGTAGGTCTTCTGTGGATTTCAGTGGAATTCATTCCATTAGACAAAGGCCACATGTACAAATCTTTTGAAGATAAATTTTTCCCTACCTTGATCACCTGCTGAGAAACCTTAGGGACAGTACCTTTAAGCTTCCTAAAGGCTTTCTGGTTTGAGAGGATCTGTAAGGTATGCTCTTACTCTCCTGAAAGGGCCCTTTGTATGACTGAATACTCTGACCTCTTAATGTTTCTAAGGTTTTAGCAAAACGTAGCACAGTCACATCCTTGACCTTTTCTTTCGTGTATACTTCCTGATAGTGAATCTCTTAATTTTAGCATTTATTATTATTATTATTATTGTTTTTTGAGAAGAGGTCTCTCTGTTGCACAGGCTGGAGTGCAGTGGTGCAAACTTGGCAAGCTGTAGCCTCAACCTCCTGGTCTCAGGTGATCTTCCCATCTCAGCCTCCCCAGTAGCTGGGACCACAGGTGTGCACTGTCATGTCTGGCTGATTTTTGTAGAGACAGGGTTTCACCATGTTGCCCAGGCTGGTCTTGAATTCCTGGGTTCAGTCATCCTGCCTCAGCCTCCCAATCCCAGCCATCCTGGGATTACAGACATGTGGCAATTTTAGCATCTTTTGCCATCTGGAGAGGCTGAAAGTTTCCAAGATCATCCAGTTCTGGTTTCTTTTTTTTTTTCCAGTAAAATAATTATAAAATTTACCATCTTAGCCATTTTAAAGTGTATAGTTCTGTGGCATTAAGTACATTCACATTGTTGTGCAACCATTATCACCATCCATTTCCAGAACTCTTTTCATCTTGTAAAATTGAAGCTCTGTACTCATTAAATAGTAACTCCCCTTAACCCTCCTCCCATCCTTGGCAACCACCATTCCACTTTCTGTCTCTATGAATTTAACTACTCTAAGTACCTCATGTAAGTGGACTCATATAGTATTTGTCTTTCTGTGCCTGACTTATTTACACTTAGCATAGTGTGCTCAAGGTTGATCCACTGCAGTAGCATGTGACAGAATTTCTTTCCTTTTTTTTTTTTTTTTTTTTTTTGAGACGGAGTTTTGGCTCTTGTTACCCAGGCTGGAGTGCAATGGCGCGATCTCGGCTCACCGCAACCTCCGCCTCCTGGGCTCAGGCAATTCTCCTGCCTCAGCCTCCTGAGTAGCTGGGATTACAGGCACGTGTCACCATGCCCAGCTAATTTTTTGCACTTTTAGTAGAGACGGGGTTTCACCATGTTGACCAGGATGGTCTCGATCTCTCGACCTCGTGATCCACCCGCCTCGGCCTCCTAAAGTGCTGGGATTACAGGCTTGAGCCACCGTGCCCGGCTCTTTCCTTTTTAAGGTTGTGTAGTATTCCACTGTGTGTATATACTGCATTTTGCTTATCTGTTCATCAGTTGATGGACATCTCTTTATATTCCAGATATCATCTTTTATTAGCTATATGGACAAATATGTTCTTCTATTCTATGGGTTCCCTTTTTACTCTGTTCGTAGTGTGTTTTGATGTGTAAATTAAAAAAAATTTCTTGAAGTCTAATTTGTCTATTTTTTCTCTTGTTGCCTGTGCCTTTGATGTCATATCCAAGAAATTACTGCCAAATCCATTGTCATGAAGCTTTTGCTTTATGTTTTCTTCTAAAAATTTTATAGTGTTAGGTCTTGCATTTATGTCTTTGACACATTTTGAGTTAATTTTTGTTTCTGATGTTAGGTAAGAGTCCAACCTCATTCTTTTGCATGTGATTAGATGGTTTTCCCAGTGCTATTTGTTGAAGAAACTGTCCTTTCTCCTTTGGTCTTGGTCCTCTTATTGAAAAACATTTGAATATATATGTAAGGGTTTATTTCTAGCTTTTTAGTCTATTCCATTGGTCTACTTATCTGACTTTATACCAGTACCTTGCTGTTGTGATTAGTAGTGTTGTAGTAAATTTTGAAATCAGCAAGTTTGAGTCCTCCAAGTTGGTTCTTCATTTTAACATTGTTTTGGCTATTCAGGATGCCTTGAGATTCCATATGAATTTTAGGATGGATTTTCTATCTCTGCTGCAAAAGACTTCATTGAGATTTTGATGTTTTTCTAAGGTCGATAGGTTGAATTTGTAGTTTGCCTTGAGTGGTACTGACATCTTAGCAATCTTATCCAATAATGAACATGGGATATCTTTTCATTTATTTATGTTTTCTCTAATTCCTTTCAGCAGTATTTTATAGTTTTCATCATACAGTAGTTCCCTCTTATCCATGGGAGATATGTTTCCAAGCCCCAAGTACATGCCTGAAACTGTGGCTAAACACAGTATACATACAAACCCTGTATGTATACTATGCACAGATTTCTTTCTTCTTCTTCACAATTTCACAGATAGAAGATTTATTCTTATAGAGGATCTTGGCAACCTCAGCATATGATTGTTTGGCCAACTTTTATTGACATATTATATCTGTACATATTTATGGGGTACATGTAATATTTGTTACCCTCATTAAATGTGCAGTGATCACAGGGTATGTAGAATACCCATCACCTTGAATAGTTGTCATTTCTATGTGTTGGGAACATTTCAAGTCCCTTCTAGTTCTTTTGAAATATACGATACATTGTTGTTAGCTATAGTTACCCTGCTTTGCTATTGAGTGTTAGAGATATATTTCTTCTATCTCACTATATATTTGTACCCATTGACCAACTGCTCTTTACCCTCACGCCTAACACCTATCCCAGCATCTGGTAACTATTTTTCCACTCCCTACCTCCATGCGATTAATTTCTTTTTCTTTTCTTTTTTTCCCTCACCATGAGATCCATTCTTTTTTTTTTTTCAGACAGAGTTTTTATTCTTGTAATCCAGGCTGGAGTGCAGTGGTGAGATCTCAGCTTACTGCAGCCTCCGTCTCCCGGGTTCAAGCAATTCTCCTGCCTCAGCGTCTTGAGTAGCTGGGATTACAGGCATGTGCCACTACACTGGACTAATGTTTGTATTTTTGGTAGAAACAGGGTTTCACCATGTTGGCCAGGGTAGTCTTGAACTCCTGACCTCAAATGATCCGCCCACCTTGGCCTTCCAAAGTACTGGGATTATAGGCGTGAGCCACCACACCATGCCTGAGATCCACTTTTAGCACCCACATATGAGTGAGAACATGTGATATTTGTCTTTCTGTGCCTGGTTTATTTCACTTAACACAATAACCTCCAGTTCCATCTATGTTGCTGCAAATGACAGGATTTCATTCTTTTTTATGGCAGAATAGTGTTTCATTGTGTATATACATCACAATTTCTTTATCATTCAACCATTGATTCCATATCTTTGCTATTGTGAATAGTGCTGCAGTAAACATGGGGATACGGGTATTCCTTTGAAAACTGATTTTCTTCCCTTTGAATAAGTATCCAGTAGTGGGATTGTTATATTTTATGGTAGTCCTATTTTTAATTTTTTGAGAAATTTTCATACTGCTTTCCATAATGGCTATACTAATTTACATTCCCACGAACAGTGTATAAGTATTAAACTCACATATATCATTATTAATTCTAAATTTAAACTGACTAAATCCCTCAATCTAAAAACAGATAGGCAATTTGGATAAAAAAATTAAAACCCGCCGGGTGCGGTGGCTCATGCCTGTAATCCAGCACTTTGGGAGGCTGAGGCGGGTGGATCACGAGGTCAAGAGATCGAGACCATCCTGGTCAACATGGTGAAACCCAGTCTCTACTAAAAATACAAAAAATTAGCTGGGCATGGTGGTACGTGCCTGTAATCCCAGCTACTCAGGAGGCTGAGGCAGGAGAATGCCTGAACCCAGGAGGCGGAGGTTGTGGTGAGCCGAGATCGCACCATTGCACTCCAGCCTGGGTAACAAGAGTGAAACTCTGTCTCAAAAAAAAAAAAAAAAAAAAAAAAAAATTAAAACCCATTGGTATGCTGCATTCAGACCCATCTCACATGTAAGGATACACAAAGACTCAAAACAAAGGGATGGAGAAAGATTTACCAACCAAACGGAGAGCAAAAAAAAATAAATAAATAAATAAAAAGCAGAAGTTATAATTTTTGCCTCTGATAAAATAGTTGTTAAAGCAACAAAGACCAAAAGAAGCAAAGAAAGACATTATATAATGATAAAAGGATCAATGCAACAAGAAGAAGAGCTAAAGATCCTAAACATATACGCACCCTGTACAGGAATACCCAGATATACAAGACTTATAAAGAGACTTAGACTCCCATACAATAATAGTGGGAGACTTCAACATTAATATTTGACAGATTAA